GCCCTTGCGCTAGAAGAAGCCTCATTAGTCACTTGCCACTCTAGCTTCCAACAGGGTATTTCTCTCTCAATAAAAACATCACTTTATCTCTGCCATCTGATGGCATGACCACCAGGTACAGTGCACCAAATGCATGACTTCAACTTCAACCTCACTTTGCATCAGTATGCCTAAATAACGTGACTCTTCCCAAAAAAGGCTAAGGCCTTATCCCTTCATGAAGAAGTCCCTGATCTTCTCAGTTCTCCTCACTCGCATTCTTAGCTTTCAACTAGCCTCTATTTAAAGTAGTAGAGATATACAATTCACAAGTGACAAAGTTGACTCTTTAATATTAAAGCCTGCAAAGCAACAGATCCTTTCCAACAACTCTGGAGCAAAGCAAATTCTGAATTCAGAAGATAAGGCTACTCTGATTGCTGGCAGCAGCACACAAAGCCACCATTAAACGCTATTTACATGCCCCTCCAACAAAGTCATGCCAAACAGTCGCATTCAGCAGTAACAGCTCTCCATTCTGCTGTCCTACACCTGAGCAAAATCATCGCTCTTCCAAAACCATCACAGCAAACTGAGGTTGTTTCAGAAACATCAATTTGCTTCTAATTTTGAACAGTGACCTAGGTATTGCATGCACACTTTAACCAGATGTAGAAAATGGTCTTTCATGTGTTTTACCTCCTTAATATTTGTGTAACAATGAGCCATTATTTCAAATTCTCAGAAATGTGAAAAACAATATAGCTTTATACTCATTTATCAACAATTTAATTTCTTACTGCAGCTGAAAAAAAAATATGGCTCTGTTGACTTGTAGGTGTATTTCCCATATTCTGATATCATCTCATCTTAACCCTGCTGCTCTTCTGAGATTGAGTATTCCCAGTTTTTGTGGCAGCTTCCCACAGGTCACAGTTTACAATTTATGACACACACTCACTGGTCATGAATTACACCCAAGAGGCATAATTTCATCAGAAATTGCTGTCCAAATGAACTTTGCAGTATTGCTCCATTCATATGCTGCACAGTCCTGTCCTTTGCCAAAAGGGAATTTTTGTTATTTTACATGGAGATACAAATGAAGCAAACAGCAGTGTTACTATGAAATGCACACTTCAGGTGGACCACTCACTTCAAACAACAAAGGCTCCTTAACCCACTCTAAGAGCAGATTAGGTCTTAACAATGTAACATGTAGCTAGAAATAAAAATGAAATTACTCTTTTTTTCCTTCACCTTTAAACAAGAGCACCTCAGCGCAGTCAGACGACCCAAGATTACCTGTTGTCTGTAAGATCTTTGCCAAGGTAAAAACTGGTTTGTTTCTTTGAATCGCCCTCTGTGTTTTGTAACCTCTTTATCACCTCTCAATAAAGAGCTGTTTTAGAAGCAAACTGCCAGAAAAACAGCCACTGGCTGAAAAGGAACCCATCATTTATTTGTCTTTGAAGTCTCCTTGAATATAAGTTAATCCTGTTCCCAACTTCTTTATCAATCTGATCTGCATCAATCCGACTCGTTTATTTATATCTGCAGAGTCTCACCAAAAGTTTGGAGTTAGCCAACTCTCCATTTGGTCCCGCCACACCACTCCATTTCTCTCAACCTTCAACATACTGTGTAACTCTTTCAGGCGTGCTCTTTCACAAACACCACTGCTTCTTCCAGGTGCAGACTCCTCACTTCACCTTAGCCTCCTTACACAGGAAATCTCTATCCCATTACTCAGCACTCATTGTTTTTTTTCATATTCCACTCAGAAGATTGACCATTTCCCTTATTCCTCAACTCCTGCCTCTGAAATCTTGTTCTTCCATTCTCTAACAGGAGCGCTCCCTTTGCAGCTTGCACACTTTCTCCAATAGTGAAGAGAAAAGAAGAAAAAAAATGCCTGGTGATTTAGGGTAAAGACAAGAGGGTAGGAGAGGGAGGGAACATGCTGAATTCAAATATATAATTAAAAATATGTACCTGGATTCACAAGATTTTGAGTAATTCTACAGATACAGCCATACAGGCACTTGGGAGACATTGCCCCATTTTTTCATCTTTGGCAGCTGTACACAGACAGAGCTGGACTTGAAATAAATCAGCAAAAAAAAAAAAAAAAAAAAATCCAACATTAACATGCCTGCCTTCAAACGTCTCTAAAGCCAACTGGAATATCCAACAAAACCACAGGCGACAGATCTGCTTACACTATTTGAGGACTTGGTGTCGTGTCTTCCGGTTTCATTCATTCATGTGTACTCTTGAAGTAAAGCTCAATCTGACGCTTCAAAACCAGTATCACAGTTTGACTTCATGAGTGATTACCTCACATTCCTAAAAAGTTCTCTTCGTGTGGTAAGAATAAAGCATATCATCAACCCAGTTTCTTGGGTTTTAGCTAGATTCGCAAGAGGATTCTGGACAAGGTTAATGAATCATAGCACTAAAATGCAGCTATACAGAGGACACAGGAATAGACAACTATAGAATTAATATGACTTCAGAACAATATTTAATTCCAGTTAAAAGTGCATCATGAATAGCTTTTCATTAAGCAGATACTTAGAAGTTTTACAACAAAGGTAAGGACTCCAGTACTAAAACTTACGAAGAAATACTAGATTTTTCTTAGCTACTGTTCACAAAGCCCTGAGGAGACTGCCCCCCAAGCCCCTAAGAGGTCCGCAGCAAACAAGCTGAAAAGCACTCTGTGCAGGCAATTCCTAGCAGTACTTGGTAGAAAACAAGGCACAGCATACCTAGGCAACTTGCACAACTTGTTCAGTTCACACTTACCTTCTCAACACCACGTGAGTTCCATACATTCTTCCTTTCTGGTTGCAACTACAATGAGATACATGATACACCCTAGCAAGCACCCCACCGCTGAACGAGTAACAGATTTTGCTAGCATATAAGGTCAAGACACATGTTGTTCATCAGAAGTCACACACTGTTCCACTGCTGAAAAATGGGAACAGAATTCCTGGTAAGGTTTTAACCACAGCAGCTATAAACCCCTCAGTGAGTCAGCATACAAAGCTACAAATGACCAAAGCTACTGGCTTTTTTACAAAGACCAAGCGGAACAGTTTTTAATTGCTCTGTATTTCTAAAAGTAAACATTTGAGAATTAAAATTGGAGGGAGCAGACTGAAACACCCACAGACATTGTTGCTTTACTCTCCATCCTCCTAAGGAAGGAAAGGTTATTTCTGTTAGCAGTTTGATCAGTACAGAAGACTCCCACAAACTAAAAGTTTTTGTCTTAGTTAGGTATTAGCTATGTAGTAAAGTACATTCAAGAGGCCCTTGTATCTATTTGGCATTTTTCAAGCACCTGGCAGCTAGTCCTTTTACAGATAACAAATACCTCCTTTTTGTCTGCAGAGCGTTAAATCAAAATCCATCTCTTCCAGCCCATAAATATAATGAGACTCCTATTTAGCTGAAGCCTACTGGCTGACTCTGGTATTAATGTTAACTTCTCTAAAATGAAAGCATTATGAAAGACTTATTTTCTACTTAGGGACATCACACATTCCACTGATAGATTTAGGTTGTGCTACTGATCACTGAGACATTACGCAGCTATGAAATTTTAAAAGAATAAAATCCGAATAATTAAAATATGCTCTATCTGGAAAAACATCACAGATTTCTAAGAACAGAAAGAAAAAGTAAAAGGCTTTAATACATTTATCTATTTTGTGCAGATAATTAACAGACTACAGCCAACCAATGAAGAAATAAAAATACAAACACAAACGTTTCAGTCTTTCTTGCTCTCTTCTCAGACACTTGATTTATACTTTGAGCTTAAACAGTAGTTAATTCCACTGATAGACAACCTAAGCAAAAAATCATTCTTTAGCTGTATCACTAAATCATTAATATAATTAGTGGTACAACAGCTCAGTGATGTACCACCAATAATATTTTCTTGGTTACTGTAGAGATAAATTTGTAATACAGGTAACTGAAGTACCTGTAAGAGTAACAGTAAAAACTCAAAACATCCCCAAGCTGTGTTCAGGAAGAACATAATAGCTTTAGATTAAATTAAAATTTGTTTTCATTGCTAGCATTGCAATGATGGGCAAAACTGCCCCTAAAAGTCAGAGTATATTAAAATGAAGATTGTTACATTTTATGATGCCTAACCAATATAAATGACAAGTATAGGTACCAAGAAGTAAGATTCAAAAGTCTATAACCAGAGCTTGTTTTCAATAGAAAGGTATAAGTGCAGACTCTTTCAGGTTGGAGTAACCTGTTTGTTTGACATCTCAAGTTATGAACTTCTCTTCCTCATAAGGTGAATAAATCCAAAAAAGTCCTTACTGAACAGAAGTAGCTCGATCATTGCAATCTACTCAAGAGCAACAGAACGCTGATATCTTCAGATGCTTACAGCTGTATTGTAAAAGCTAGTTCAACAAAGGTAAGAAGGTGAAATTTGACTTGATAAAGTCTCATTGCAGTGGACAAAAATGAAGCTTGCATTTTGTTTGCTGGCAGAAAAAGAATATTCAACTCACAAGAGCTCATGTAACAAAACCAAACACGCCGTCTATTGCTTTTAAAACTTCTACTGCAACATAACGTTGAAGTGAACAGTAATTAGATACTTATCATTTTTCCCAAAAAGAAAAATATGTAAACAGAATAAGAATTTTACCTGTACATATATAGCTTGTCAGATCATTTAACAGGGTCAAAGGAGGCGGTGCTGTTTCTCAATGATCAAGACACTTTCAAGTGAAATAGGTTTTCATTTAAAAAAAAAGCGCGAATATTGTTTTAATCCAGCATTAAACAAAATACCGTGCTTCTTACACTACTTTAACACATCTGAAAAAGCAAAATTACTACCCATGCTTTGGCATTGATGTTTATATTTGCTCAGATCTTTTAGATTTCAGAAAGCTGCTATCCAGTGTTGCCATGAAATACAGATTGTAGAATCTAGATAGCACAGGCTACTTCCAATACTAATACTAAGAAGAAAGGAACATGAAGCAGGGCATTACACTACATTTTTGGAACTACTACAGTAGGAGTGAAAACCTAGAAAATAGTTAACCTATAGTTTACAGAAGGAACTAATTATCTTCAGAAGCTGATTTTTGGTTGTATATTATTTTCTGCAGCTGCTAATTTAAAGCAGACATACTTGCTGCTTTCTTTGCTTTGTTTCCCATATTCTCTTCTCCCCCCTCCCACATACCATACACCAAGCATTATGAATATAAGCCCAAATATCCCCGACAATCCAGTGAACAAAGTTAGTGTAATGCACTGGTGTGAGGTGTGAAATAAAAAAGTGTCTCTCAATCTTCATCAAAGTTCTGTTGTAGAAGAAAGTTGGCAGCCAGGTTTTCATTCTTCTCACAAGCAAAATATGCCTGTATCACAAGTCCTTCAGGAAATCCTAATGCCTTTAACTGAAGAAAAGAAACACATTTAGAAAGTACATTTTGTATATTAAGCTTCTTTGTATCTCTAGTATTTTGAGATGCACTTAAGCAATTACTGCCTTCTTGAAACAAACAATGCTGCCTAGCTCAATACAGCCTTCAGTGAGCAAAGAATAAGAAGGCATTGCCTCTGTCTTTAGTAAACAGAATTCTCACTTGAAAAAGTGATTTGAATCAGTCTAATGAGCACCAAAAAACATGTCACTTTTCTTTCACTGTCATAGTAAGTCACTAAAACAGATTCGGGTCACAGCAGTGTGAGGAAGTAATGGCACATTGCACTGCTGCGGAAAAAAACCTTGAAACGATGTCCATTATAAACTATTAATCATAAAAAGCTCAGGATTTTTAGCAACAGTTGCCCGAAGCAGAAGCTCCCAACCTGTGATCACTGGTAGGCAGGCCAACACATCACATTAAGCCATACTTTCAATTGTTCCAACTAGACTTTCACTTTTAAAAAAATTGACTACGCATTGCAGCCACGAGAAGTAAATTGAAAGCAATCTGTTTTTCAGAAGTCAAAGAAATAAATAATGTCTGGGACGCAATGACGATGAGGGATGAGAATACTAGAGAAGAGCTTATTACTGTGCCAAGCGAAATGGGATCAGCCTGCACTTAAAGACATTCAGCAAAACAATCTCTTTTTTAGCATGTACATACAACCATTTAGAGATTTTTCTTAAAATCCTCACAGCACCTGCAAGGCATTTTACATACAGGGCAGATCAAGTCTCTGCAAGAAACCACATCTTATTATCCCTTATCAACCATTCTTAGATTTACTTTCATGCTTACAAACAGTATAAATGTGGCAGCTGTAATACTAAGACACCTAAAATTTGAGGTGTATTTTTCATGGAAAGGGAAGCAGCATACAGATCTCCGTTGGGTTGGTTTTGGAACAGGTTGTGGAGGTAACGCTCTACTGCATGAAATGGTTTTAAAAGGAAATGCAGCAGACTAGAGAGGGTGATCTGTTAAGAAGTACGTGGGCAAACAGTTTTATTAGACTAATTTTATTAATTGTCAATTTCCTTGAGATTTAGAGGATTGACACCTACGTTAAAATTGATCTTTCTGATGACACTTACATAACCTTTTGCTTTGGCAGTTGAAAATCAGTCTTTGATATACAAAAACACTACCACAGTATGACCTAAGTCTTCGCAATTTGTTGTAAGAAAAATCTCAGAGCCATTGCCATCTATGCAAATTCATATTTAGTCAGTGTTACACACGGTATTTCTGAATGCAATATAACACCTCCAAGTATATTTTTATAGACATGTTTACCTGTATTTTTAGAAAGCTGTAATTAACTAATTCTCATGGATAGACAAATAATTGGGTTAAGTAGTGATCTCAGCTAATCCACTGAGAGCTCTTACTATCCAAGTAATTTGCCAACAGTCCTCATGCAGACACACCTCTCTACCTGGAAACCTGTCACAGCACGATCTAGAACAATACCATCTGAGGCTTTTGCAAGAGGAATTACTGCCTGAGTTCCCATTCCTAAGGGAAACCCATTCAATCATCATTACAGGCAGCCTCTGATCACTGAAAAGGCTCTGCATCTTCTACGTAAGACAGATTCAAGAGATTCTAGACTCAATTGCGATAAAGCAAGAAGAGATGTGATTTGAAACAAGACTACAACAGCTATGAAATATCAAAAATGATGCAGAACTACTAAGCATAAACAAAGTTTAAGTTAAGGCATGTCTTAAGCATGCACTAGAGTCAACACCCCATAGCAACAGCCAAGCAACATTTCAAAGAAGAAAGGCTCACCCTTTCTATGGCTTCTTTCTCCTGAGGCGTTACTTGAATGTAGTTCATATGACCATTTCCAGCTTCTGCTACTCCTCCAGTGCTGGCAGTATCATCACTGCCACTTAAACCTTGGCGGGACTCTAGAACTGGCTCATTCAACATACGAATAAAGTGTTCCTGGTGTTGGCTTATTTGCTGTGATGCATGGGAGAAGAAAAAAAATAAACTGAAATAAAGCATGTTTAAGCCTGTCAAAAGGCAAGTAAGAACATTATTTTTCAGTGAATTAAGTAGTCAAAAGAATGTGTAAAAAAGCGCATAGAGAAAAATGAGTAAATCTAACCATGAGAAATGCAATTTCATGTTTCAGTTCAGTTGCAGTGACCCTTCCCTTTTCCTCATGTGCTTTGCACCTCTTATAAAAGAGGCTCAGGCTCACCTCTAATGTCATAAATAATGTTTGGTACAGCAACAACTGCTGAAAAGCCAGTAACAGAATGTTTTAACTGTTATTAACACACTACCTCAGTTAACATCAACATATTCCTTTCTTGTAAAGCTAAATCAAAATTAGCAGCATTATTTTGTTGTTTTAAGATTTACCTGCAGTAGTTGAGGGTTTTCCCGTCCAATCTGCTGTAGCAATGCTGGTAACAGAGAAGGATTTTGCTGAATAATTTGTCTCATCTGCTGGAACTGAGGCTGATTCCGTAAAAACTCAAGCGGATGTCCTGAAAAATCAAGGAGGTAACATGTTTTTTAAAAAGTTACCAAGACTCTTAATAAAATACATACCTACACTGTAAATGTAGACAGAAACAGGACATGGAAGTGGACAATACACCCCTCACTGAAAAGCAGAAGAGCCTGCATCCTCACAGTAACTCACTCTAGCTTTAAGCAAGAATTCTTTATATTAAGGTTAAACAACGTATTTTTTTCTCACCCAGCCTTCTCTAAGGATACAAGGCCCTTGGATCTTAAATCTCCATCAATTTTCTCTTTATGTCTTATCTCTGAGTTACTTCAGAGACACCCACTCAGCCTACTGTCTTGTCTCTATGCCTACAATGGAGTTCTTTACCTCCTGCAATAGGCCAGTTCTGTCCTCAAAGTGAGTCTTGCCTTCCCATATATCCTATACTGTTAGGTACTGCCCTGAATGCAGCAACGTCAAACGTGCTCTGCAATACCCCATTCCCCCCATTCTCTCCTTATATATGGTGTCATGTGTGCCTGTCACTACTATCTCTATGTTGAACAATCTGGCCTTTATCAAGGTTTACATCTTGAACACCATCTCTGCCACAGACCTTTCCTGCTCCTTGATTATGCTCCTTTCAGTATTTATTTCCCTTTAAGACAGTTCTCTTCAGCACTAACCATTCTGCCCATGTACTGCACTGCTGGGTGAGGAGTACTAGGTCATGGATAGGTCTCTCAGGTGCTACACCTCACGGCCTTATTGCAGGTTTCTCCCTTCAAATTGCAACTTCCAAGCAGTAAACACACAAGTACAGTCACAGCTGACAGCTCAGTTAGCCATAGAAGTAGGAAGCCAGAAAGTGAGAGAAAACACAACTCCCTCCACATTTGTGGTCTTACATTTAAATCCAGAACACTGAATGAAAGAAATTGTGAAAGATCACAACATTTTTAGAAACGTCATGCTTTATTCCACACATATCCACATAAAACAAGACCTTTCAAGCAAGTACCACATTTATGGAATTTCCATGTTACAGCTCTCATCCAATTCACTTTGATCAGTTGACAAGCACCAAGAACTGAAGCAGAGAAAGCTTAAGCACGCGTGTTTATCACATTCCCTTTCTTACCTCCTAACGAACTAGTAGTTGTAGGTATAGTTGCTACTGCTGCTGCCACTGCTGACGACTGAGAAGCACCAGTGCTTGCTGCTTGAGGGGGTTCAGCCACAGCCTGATTATCTCCGGGTATACCCTAAAGCCACAGTTCACATAATTACCAACAGAATGCTAAAAGACACTTGCTTTACTGCATGTATTATTTGTTTTTCAGAACAAAAAAAACATTAATGCTTTCACTGCAAATACAAAGCAAGATGCTGCAAAAGGTATGCATTTACAACTGGAAGAGAACACTGTGAAAAAGTAATTTATTTTTTGACAAGAAAAATATGTCATTTGTACAGCGACATAGTAAAGCACGCACTGCAACAGTTTAAAATACGTTTTACTCCATTAAACAAATACTTGCTTTGAATCTTAGACTCCTGTACGACTACAGGCCCCAGTGGTACAGGCACGGGAAGCTGCCCACAGGAACCCAAGAGGCAGACCCCACTGATAGTGGGGGGAGCTATGCTAAACCCTGCCCCAAAGGGGAAAAACTATACAAGACCTGTATGTCACGACATTCAGTTTCCAGGATGGAAAAAAAATTCCATTTTTCTACAGTCTTCAGCATATTCAGTCCAGGTAAGCCTGAGAAGGTAGTAGCAATGGTATAACAATATATTTCACGAATGAACGGAGCACCCTTCAGTTTGGAAACCACAAAACATAGGGAATAGGGTAGGTGGAAATAATCACAGAACTTCGGTGTAACCAGACAACGAAGAAGTTTGGCAAACCTACCACAGAAATCACTGGTAGGTAATGCAGACTAAAAATCCTGCTACATGTTTTTCATGTAACGTTCACCACTATAGCTGAACAAAAGGGGCAAATACACAGTTAATTTAAAGGTGACATCTAGAAAGGGAGAACTGGACAGTGCTCCAGGCAAAACTTTGCCTCAACTGTGAGGTAAGAAGCACATCAAGGTACATGGGATTGCCCCGATCCACCTAATCATCAGGTGGAAGTTTAAGCCGCTCAGAGGAACAAATGCAAATTTTCCCTGTCACACACATCACTACCATTATATGGCTTAGTCAGCTTGCTACACACCCCTCCTCCACAGAGGGGGAAAGAAAATTCCACTCACGACATAACTGTGTGGTCAACTCTCTCTTATCAGTGCCTTACAGAGCACTGTTTAAATACCTTTTCCAATCAAATCAGTCATTCTGGGAATCTAAGTATAATGTAGGAACTTGGGTTAATCTTTGAAATTATCGGTTAATTTCACCTATTCACAGACATGTATTGTCACTGCAACATATGTCTGTGTGCCCAGATCAACAGCACATACTTGTTTAAACCTTAAGCTTGCTCTTGAATGGAAGCACTATGGAAACTAGTTCAACCAAATTTACTTAGGGATGATCTACCATCTTGAACATCATCTTAACTCTTCAATACAAGCTTGAAGTATCACTCTCCAAACAACCGAGACTATGTACAATTGTAATCAGATGAGACTACTGAGGTGTATATGCACCTTGTTCATATAGCTACCCAACAGAAAAAAGCATATCGATTCACACACAGTTTTAATGTAAACATTGCTTGGACAGCAAGAAGGTGATTTTTGCCCTATGGTGGATTAAACAATTGTTTACTGTTAATATAGCACCAAAGCAGTTTCAGCTGACACTGTTCTCCACACTATGGAGATTCTATGTAATCATAGAATCATAGAATGGTTAGG